TTTTTAAAAGATTTCAGAAAAGTAGCAATTAAAAAAAAATTAGCCAATAATACAAAAAAAAAGATGCCAATGACGCCCAAATTGGAAAAAAATATACACAAAAGTATATCAAAAATCAAAAGATGTTGCAAAGAGCGCAATTCAAATTGACAAGAGGTAAAAATGAGCCCACAAATTTTAATGCTTACCATTTCTGTACTTTTTAAAACTAAGAAACCCTTGATACTTTCGATACTTGATTGAAAATCTGATTGCCTGATTTCAACAATTCATGCAGTGAATCTTCTATTAGATATATTTTTATGAAAGGAGTTTTGAAAAATTAGTGTTTTTTTTCTAATTTATTCCTTGATTTAGATATTGAATTAAAAAAATTTTTAGCCTTTTTAAAGAACTTGGAGTTTGGATTTATCAAATTTTGAATTTTTAACATTTTTCTTAGGGCTATGCGTTGTCAACCAATTAACTATATAAGTTTTTGATTAAAACCAAGAGGAAACTTCCTCATTTTTAAGAATATTATTTTTTACTAGATCAGGAATGTTTTTGTCTTTTGTCGTTTTGTTTTTTGTTTGTGCTCCTGTGCCTCCTCTCTTTTTGATAATGTCAAAGGGGGAGAACGTATTGTTGAATTTTTATACTATTTCGTGTTTGTATCTTAAAATTAAAAACAACAAAATATTTTTATCTCCCTAGTTTTAAAAGAGTTATTCTAGTGAGGGGGAGATTAGGAAGAGTTTTTACTTTTTTGAAAATTTAATTTGAAATGTTTTGCCATCATCAAAAAGGGGGAGATTGTTGCAGATCTATGGTTTATAATTTAATGATAGCAAACATTCCTTATTTCTCTACGATTGCCTTATGTGCTAACGTTTCAGGTCCACACGATCAGACTGCAATCTAGAATCAGCTCAAGATTGGGTGGACTAGGTCTGTGTCAGTTTGTAATCTTTTTCCTTTCTTGAGTCTGTTGTATTTGGTATGGAACCTATTATTTTGTAACTTGGAAGATTTTCTGTTATTCCCTAAAATATTTCTATTTTTGTTAATATCGTCCGGGACGATATGCCCAAAAATAGAAACCCTATTTAGGGCAACCTCATTAAGGCAACCGTCATATTCATATCGGCCTGGAAGATACTTGTATCGGCCAGGACGATATTCTCAATTCAAAAAGAATCAGCCGCCATAATCAGTTTAGGTATTCTTTATTTTAGAAAATCGACCAGGACGATATTCCTATCGTCCAGACCAATCTAACACAATTATGCCTAAATTGATCTGGTATCTTTGGAAAGCATTAATGGTTGATTGATACGATCACATCGTCCGGGACAATCGCAGGATCGGCCGGGACGATATCCTGGACGATCTACATCGGACAGCTCGAATTCAGGGCGATGATCAGGACGATTGAAATCGATTTTAAACTAATCAACCTGGACGATGTAACCAATTTTTTTCTGATCGTCCCAAATCGTCCCGGGCTGATGAGCTGAATTTATACTGATAATGTCGGCAACTTGCATTAATGAGCTCGTTTTGAGCTTTTCTATTAAGCTTGGCATGACACTTTGTAAGAGTCTTTGGCAGCCATTGGAGCTTCGTTCTTGTGGGGGAGACTTGAAGAGAAAGCTTGAAAGGGAGTGAGGAAAGGGTGGAGTTTGAGAGAGGGAGAAGATCCTGTGAGGAGGGACTCAAGGGAGTGTGGTGGGGGATCCACACGGTTGCTGCCGGCAGCTCGCACCTGAATACCGTCGGATTCAAGGCTTGTCTCGAGGGAAGTTCACCAAAGAAGAAGATCTCTTTGGTGTCAAAGGACCCGGCGACTCCGCCGCACCGGAGAAGGTGGAAGAGATTTTGTAAGGGCTTTCCCCTAGCTTATGGGGGCTAAAGGAGAGACACTTGTTTTAGTGCAATACTTGGAGGGTGCCTCCAAGGAGTGGACGTAGGTCAAGATTTGACCGAACCACTATAAATCCGGTGTGTTCTTTCTTTATTACTTCCGCATTTAATTTCCACATTTTGATTTTCATTGTGGTGAATCTTAGTTTTTGTTTTAAGTTTAAGTTTTGTCTTAAATTCTGATTCACCTCTCTCTTTTAATTAGCCTTGGGCCGGTTAATAGGGCTTAATATCCCTAACGAACTTTCAAGTGGTCTCAGAGCACTTTCTAGTGTCATCTGAGCACTTTCATAATTTAATAAAAATAATTTCAATAAAATTTGGGAATTGCTAGAAGTGGGATATAATTTTTGGAAGAAATTTTATTTCACTTTTTGAAAAATTTCGGTATTACAACATTTCTTTTAAAAAATTTTATGAGAAGTTAGCTCTGGGTTTAGGCATGTATTTTTATAAAACGTGTAACCATCTTACTTAAGTCACCCATTTTCCTTCATATGCAATACACATTGATCCTAACTACTAACTTAGCAGTGTATCTGATGCCCACCGATAGCATGCCCAAACCACCTAAATCTATTTTCATTATCTTACTTTCAATAGGAACTAGTCTCATTATTCCTCCATAATATAATCACTTTACACACTATCTTTTTTTACCAAACTTAAGTCAAATCATTCACAATCCATCAACACTCAGTTTGGTGACAATAATTGTTAAAGCCCAGAACTAAGATAAAATATAGTATCTATGCATAATTATATTATTGTAAAATTTACCTAAATAAGATATTTTCTTATTATATAGTACTCCTAAGGAACAATACACATAATAAGCACATCCAAAATCTCTTGGTTGATTACTTCATCTCACGCAAAAAAGGTAATGCATTCAAGAGAATTTGATTGTAACAGTGACATCAAAGCCTACTTTTAATCTCATGATCACCAAAGTTGCATGTAGATATATGAGGCCCGATGTTTAAAATTGCGTATTCGAATATTGAGGTGTTTTTCATTAGTGAGGTGAGGCGTAAGCCTCAAAATCAAAAGATTGCGTAAATATAAAATGATAAATTTGTTATATACTAATGAGTGAATAATATAAAACATAAAAAAAACATAAGATATAAAGTGAAATCAAAATATCTCAATAATAAGAGAACATGAAATATAGTTCAACTCAAAATATATCTTTCCGAAAACCCAATATTCTTTCAATTAACATATAATTCTGATTTCCAAAAATAAATAGCAATGACATATCACATAATAACTCATAAGTCATCAGCACTGTCATCACTAAGGGGTTCTTCATTTGAATCATCATTATGCTGAACTGCTCTCTCCCCTTCCTCTTCTCCTATAGAGTCCAATGTCGGACATTTACTTCAAGATTTATGTAAGTTTTAATATATATAGCGTGATGCGTAAACCTCATGCCAATGAGGCGAGGCGGGCCTCAAGATGGGCCTTAACCAAGTTGAGGCACAAGCCTCATAAAAAAAACTCGATGTGTAAGCATTGAGGTGTTCTTTACTAGAATTGCGCAAAGGCGGGTCTCAAGGCAAGCCTCATATTGCGCAATTTTAAACCATGATGAGGCCTGTAGAATATGCTGGAATATGCCATTTTTAACAGAAGAATTTACAAAGATTTAAAATGGTCTCAAAGTAAACAAAGGATTTGTAAAAAGTTCCAAGTCAAGAAACCATATATTTCCATTCATATAATATTACATGTTGATGAATTTTCAAACAAAAGAATTTATTCACAGCTTTAGGTCAAATGCAGCAGCTTCCATATAAAGGATACATTGCATTTTTAGTGTCCTAAAAAGCTAAATAAGTAAAACAACTTATTAAAAACTACAGGAATAATGTAGAAAAAGAATATTCAATCTCAGTACTTCTTCACTATCCCTGATCCAATGCTTTTGAAACATAGCTTCCGCATCAATGTTTTTAAGGATTTAAAGAGAAAGTAGCAAGCCTGCCTCGTCTGGCACATTTCATGAAAAATGGTCAAAACTCTAAAGCTAAATGATTCAATATAGTTTAATAATAAAGCACGTTAAGTGACAGAATCCAGAGAAGTGGGATGCCCTGACCTAATACCAGTACCTCCGCTATGAGATCAAATACAATTTCAATCCAACATCTTGTGGTCAATTACTGATTTCCAAGCTCAAAGATTGGCCATGAAGCATAATAAGACAAACTTAACCCTTTCTACAACTACTAACTTTCTTTAATAATTAAATAATCAACTAATCAGTTAGAGTTAAAAGCCGTGGACTTCCTCAAGCATATAATAACAATTATAAAATTCAGAACCTACCTGCTTTCTGAAAGAAGTAGAAGGAGTGTGCTTGCGAGAGCTCGTGGACCCGATCCGTCTCGACATGGAACCATCAAACCTCTGTGACAGCTGGTGCTGCTGCATTGCCATCACAAGAGCATGACGGTGCAACAAATCATCTTCTGCTGGTATTTTTCTCACTGAGCGCGAGCTCCTCTTTCCCCGAGATCCATGGCCCTCACTGAATCCTTTACTCGGAAAACAACCCAACCAATTTCCCATTGCAGAAATGGGACGACAACTATGTAAAAAATCGCTTCAACTATTCTGGGTAGTGAGTGGACTGATAAGCAGGGCCAGATCTTACAATGTACGATGCGGAAATGAGAAGGTAAAAGATAGGGTTTTGACCGGAAACCAGATAGAAATTTCTTCTTAGAAATCTGAAATATATAGTTCAGGAAGAAAGAAAAAACACAAGAAACGCAGAAGATAGATTCAGCCCAACAAAAGATAAGAGAAGAATGGGATATTGAGAATGACCAGAAAAGGAGATTAGCGAAACACACTGAAAACGAAGGAAAAAAAAGCCATAGAAGAACGATGACGAGATAAAATTCAAGCAGAATGACAATAAATATGAAATCTGCTCCAGTCCTACAACCGACAAACTAGCGGATTTTGCGGAGTTTTAAAGAGCCGAGTGATGTAAACCCCCTAACAAAGCAAAATCACATGCTTGCTTAAAATTTTTTTTGGTGAACTATCCAAAATCAAACATTTTGGTGCTAATTTACTAATCCTGGAATTGAATAGAAAAGTTGAGAGAAGGGGTGCTACTTTGAAGCAATTATTACGTGCGGTTGTGAGACTATTCAGAGAAAAATCAGGATGCGTCAAGTCATCCGATACACAGCAGTACATAACAAAAAAGTAATGTGACACGTACCTCCGAATGTCATCTGGTGATCACACGTAATAATTTCACGCTACTTTGACCTCTTCTATTTAAAGTTATATATATAAGAGCTACATTTTGAGTCATTTAGATCAATGAAGATAAACTAATATACATTATCATATTCGTAAGACTCAAATCTAAGACCTCTTAGTTGATAGTCAAAATTCTTAACCAACAGATCAAGATGAGCTACGTAAAAAGGAGCTCCATAGTAAGCAAAGAAAAAAAGCCTTAATTTAATTGTAATTTAAGAAGAAGCATAAATATATATAAATTTTGTATTTTAATAGAAAACACAAAATAATTTTACCATTTTTTATAATTCAAAAGGTTTTCGTTAGAAAATGCAAAATATTTTGCATTTTCTAAAAAAATTCAATATGTTTTGTTGCATTTTCATTTTAAATTTTTTTTTTCTTAAATTTGATATTTATCAATTTTTTTATTATAATTTATATTTAAGATTAATTTAGATAGTTATAAGGTAAGTGGTAAATTTTATGTTAGTTATAATTATGTGTAAATTTTATTTTAGATATTTATAAAAATTTTAATAATACTTACAATTTTATAAAATATTTTGAGTTAATTTTATGTCATCAATGTATGTTATAAAATTTATGTTATTAATGTTGAGTTAATTTGATATTTATTATAATTTTAAAATTCTTAATTATAACCATTATCGTATCACCCAACAACATCCATTCATGTTGGTCATGATTATGATTGGTCATGAAGAGGGACCAAGGCCATTTTAGCACTAGCACAAGAATCTAATACTTATTACTATGAGTAAATAAAATTAAGTAGTATGCCTTATTTATATGTTTAATAATAATAGATTATTATCTAATATCTAATTTTGATTCCCCCAATTCCATCATGTGCCTACCAAATGAGGGGCCCACATTCGTACTTTTTTTAGAACAGGGTATCTACCCGTTGCCGTCCCCTTACGAGACACATGGCGGCATAACTAATCCATCAGCGGAACCTAATAGAGCCGACCCACAAACACCGACCCCACTCTTTGCTACTCCCCTCAAAGAAGGCGAGCTGCTTGAGGGGAGATTCGAACATGGGTTGGGGGTTCCCAACCATGCCCGCCCACCAACCAATCTAAGCTCAGCGGGTACATTCGTACAATTTTATAGCATCTACTTGGGTAGATAATTATTGGTCATGATGTTGACGCCATGAATTTTTATTTAAAAGAAACTAATATGCATGATACAACTAACACACTTTATTTTTACCCCTTACTTTAAATTTTATTATATTGATTGTGTTATTTTGAAAATTATTCTATATTGTGATGATGCCAAGCCAAGATTGTAAGAAAGTTGGTGAAGGATCTTTTACTCCTTTATTAGTGATGGGAATCCTTCTTCATAGGATAGGTAGTAAAACATCATCCATCCTTTCTTAAATATACAAGTGATGTCAAATGAAGCATACCACTATTATACACATGTTTGAATATTAGATCGAGATAAGTTGTTATATAGATTACTTGTGAAAGCCTTAAAATTGTATAGTGATCATACAACAGAATTTTTTATTGGATCTTGATGAAAGTTAATGTAAGAGAGACTTAGGCTTCGTTTGGGACGGCTTTTTTATTGCTTTCTAAAATGGAGTTTTAGTACAATTTTTTTTTATTTTGTACTAAAACTCCGTTTTAGAAAGCAATAAAAAAGTAGTCCCAAAACGAAACCTTAAAGAGATGTAACATCATTTAGTCAGGTTTTATTTCATTCATATAAAGTACCATGAGATGTTGTAGTACAACTTAGGAATAGAAGAAAATGATCCAAATTATGAGGAATTAGGTTTACATGTTAAACTATATTGACAATAGTGTATCATAGAGAATGACTTCATATAAAACTTGTTTGATAAATTTATAAGTGTACCATTTCTGAAAGTTAAGAAGATACCTTTATTTGGAGCTAATTTGTAAAAGATATAGTGAAAATTCGAGTTTTATATGGCATACTGACTAACACAAACACAAGTGTAATCTCCCATGTTTAAACTACTTAAGAGAAAAAATATTGAATTTGCAAGGTAGTTGTTGACATTCATATGTAGTTGTTAGCATATTCATGTACTACTAGTACATGAAAGTTAGATATCCTAGATGATTAGTGGGTGGGGTTCGTAGAATCATGTAATCAGTGTTATACTTATCTGTCCTAGACTACTTGCATGAATGTGTGTAGCTTCATTTTATTTGAAATGTATAGTGTCATTATTCCATATAAAGAAAAATTTATAATTTTCTTATAATTTATCAGTATTTTACATCTATATGAAAGTTCTTTAGAGTGAATATTATATTAGGATATTATATTAATTTAAAATGGAGAAAATACTATCATAATACTCATTATTTGATCTTCCATTGTCAGTATAAAAATTTTCTATATAAAAAAGAAAAAAATGGCTTCTTACAATATAAATTCTATAAACCTATATACTACTAAGTTCTCCTATGATGTTTTGGAATAGATATATCCCAAGTGTATATATGGTAGGTGCTCATCGTGGACTCCTCTACAATTGTTACTCCTCTACAATTATGACTTTGTCATCATCCTATACTCTTGTGGTGGAAATTTAAGTTTGCTAGAAAAGCATTTATTATTGGGTGGGGGGTCATGGCAGAACTATGGATGCTTATGTGATAAGAAATTCTTAATTAAGTCAATAACTATTAAAAGCACCCTACTATAATTAGAAGGATGAGCACTGCTACATCGATGGTTCTATATTTGAAATTCCTATCCCTAAAATCATTTATGGATAGAGGATCTTGTATAATTAGTCATTGAGTGCCGATGAGCATCAATACTTGATCACTATAGAGCAAAAATAGTATCTCTTTGGAACATTAGGTGTTGATCTTCATAAAACCTCAAAAATTAAGCATTATGGATCATTAGATATTGACCATTGGCCCTAATATCTCTCTTGACCTCAATGGGTCTACTCTGTATAAAAATTATGGTTAGTGGGCTGATTGAATGTGATATAATCAATATAAATGTATTGCTTCACTATACTCAATAACTTTGAAATCTCATTTAAAGCCAATTTCATCAAACTATCATTCTCATCATAACCAGTAGCAAATGGTTTCATGATGCCCTTATTATGCATATAAAATAATCCACATGAGCATGCATAGTACATATCTTGTTCAACCATTCTCAAAATAAATTAGTGTATCTAACTTAAACTTTATTTTATAAATGGCTTACCTCTATCCATTCCCCCAGTGACCTAGGATAGTAAGTATCTGGTGGTTGGGTTGGAGCCTTCATTATCCATATTAACACCCAAAATCTATAACATAAAATCTAGATAGCCAACTTTTTTATGCTATTATCTTACTGTGGAGTCACTTGCATTATATAGGCCAGTCAATTGTTCCATAGCTTAATATAGTTTTGGTAAAAGCATTTTATCAATATTTAGCATAAATGCTTGAGAGATTTATGAGATTACTACATCATGTAAGGTGTTATGATAGTTTTTATGTACCTAACTCTAATGAAGAGCATCAATTTTGTCCCTATAAGTCCTTTCATTTTTAGCTAGTACCTCTTGAGCATGTTTCTCACTCCACATGCAGGTTATGAGATTATATAATCATTATTAATAAATAAATAATTTATGTCTATCTATGAAAATTATACCAAAGTTAAAGTGGTCTTCTAATGATATACCTTAGGAAAGATGCATGGAAAGTTGTCCTCTCAACATGTAAATGCTCACAAGACCAAACTTGTATGATAGGTATAAACACCCAGCTATATATACACATGTGGGCTTTGTTAATAGATCAATTATTTACACATGTGTGTAAGCACATAACCTTATCATGATTACTAGACAAAGATTACTAAATATTTTAGTAATGGAAAATGCTATAATTAAATGTGCAAGCCAGAAGTATTCAAAAGAAAGAAACATCCCAAAATGTATAGAATGTAGGCTCTAATATACCATTAAAAAAATAAATGGTATATCATCATAAGAATCTCAATAAAATTTCCTTTTAAGGTAATGTAATGGTATTATTGGTGCACATGGGACTAGCCCATATGAAAGCTAGCATCACTTTCATTTTTAATTGAGTGATAATAAACTATTTGAGCATTTAGACATCTTATTATTGCATTCAAAATTATTTAACTTCATTAATCGAGCCCAATCATTATAGTGCAAACTAAGGGCACACCATCCACCCTTATGTTAAGAATTCATTTTATTCATCTTGAACTATCATCGTCATCTCCCCTATGGGTAAGTGGAATGTATTCATTAGAGGACATCTTTTATCCATTAAAGTTATAATGTAATGATGGTCAAGACGCATGAACTGTAGATGGTGAATTCAATCATTAAGCCCAATCAAAACACTCTTTGAATGTGTTTTGAGACAACTTGAAGGTGCAAATGGCACACCAAGATTGCGGGGGGGGGAAATCTTTTACTTATTCTCAAAAACCTGATATGCATTAGCATTAAATAAAAGATATTAAAATAAAAAACCAAATCAAAAGAATGTTTTTTTTTTTTTTTTACTATTTAAAAAACAATATTTTCTTTCTTTTT